ACTACTTTGCCTGCTGGAAAGTGATGCTCCTGGCAGCCTCTCCTCTACTCATTTTAAGTCTCCTGGGGAGGCATGAGCTGCTGCCGGGCTGTGTGATAGATGGGACACAGATACAGTTTTGGGGCTGGACAGGGTGTTTTTACTCCTTCTATTGCCTAATTTTGAAACCAGGCAGAGGCAATGCCAACCAGGGCATCTTATTCAACACATGGGCTGTCAATCTGGACTGTGACAACTTACTGACAGCCCACACCAGCACAAGGGCCACCGGCACCCTGCCAGCCTCCAGAGCCCAGAGGTAGGGGGGGAGAAGACCCATGGGGAAGGTCATCCACTGCAGCCGTGACACATACCTGGTCATAAGCAGGTTTGTGGTTGGTGCTCTGCTTCTCACAGTGGCTGGCAAGGTTTCTCTCTGCCTCAGTCCTCTCCAGGGAAATGAGTTTTCCATCCACACAGCACTCAGGATATTGCGAGTTAAAGGTTTCATAACCCCCTAGGGAGAAAAAGGGAAAAAGAAAAAGGAAGATATGAATGTTGTGCTTGCAAAACCTGGTTTAATTAACTAGAGGAGAAATGAGGCTCCATCGGTTGCAATGCAGTGGTATAGTGCTGCACAGCGATGGGCCCCAGGGGGTTAATGAGGGATAGTGCTCCCCTGAGAAATGCCTTTGTTTAAAAGGCTTCAGGCACCCAAAGTAAAACCTCTATTACTGCTGACAATTATTAACTTGCCAAAAGCTGGTGGATCCAGATTAAAACTGTTAGTGAATGTAATTCTGTCGAATCTATCAACCATTAACTTCAGTACAGCAGGGACTAAACTCCCTCCCACAGGTTTTATGTAAGAGCAGTATTCCCAGTGTTTGAGATGAAGATGTCTGTGCTCAGGATTCATCTCTAAATCTGTCATTACTATTTACACTGTGACAGCATGAGGAATATTTTACTTGCATTTCTGAACGGACATAAGCACAAGAGGGGGATGCTTGCAACTGTGTCATTAATCACCACAATGCACGAGACAGCGAGGTAATGAAGACAGTCCCACTGAAACCAATCTATTAAATAACAGCTATAAAACTTAATGAAATCCTGTGACAGCACTTGACAACTGAATAGCCCCACATGAGCTATCCTGCATGGTTAAGGGCTGCATTCATTTCATTCAGTGCACTGCTAATGAAAAGGAATTAATCCTGTTATTACATTGTTACTCAAAGTTTGTCGTCAGCTAAATCACCCTGTTTCCAGGCTGGGAATACACTGCACGGAAACACAGGATCTCTAAATTGAATGTGAATAAGCCAGGTAGCAGAAGCAGCCTGGAAACGTCAGTGGCGTGCCACATGTCTGCCACCTGTGCTCTTTCAGAACCCAAATGAATTGCGAAAACTCTTGAACAGCCAGATTCAATAATCCTCCAGAGCAGGGCCCTCAAGTAAACACAGCTCAGAAAGCAAAACCCCAATGTGATTCATTCACCTGCAGCTGGTTCACCCTGATAAGCGCGGTCAGTGCAGGTGCCCGGTGCAAGGAAAGGTTATGAAACAAAGGAAGCACTGAAGATCTGAGCAGCCGCAGGGCCTGTACCACGGGCTGCCTGGTACCTTGACATTTCGGCTCCGTACCACCGCTGTGTCATTGGTTTGCAATGTTTGAGCAGATGTGTGCTCGAATTCATGACGTGCTGCCATCGCCCACTCAGCCCTGCCGTGGGGTCCTCGTGTTGCAAGAGGCCGGCACGATCCAAAGCCCACTGAGGGTGATGAAAGTGTTTTCCATGACGGAGGGCTGGAGGGTGACTTGGCAGTGAGTTGGCACCCAGCACCTGCACCTTTCCTCCTACTCCCCAGCCACAAGCAGTCAGCACGCCCCAGAGCTCACAGCAGGTCAAGCAGCCAAGGGACCATGGAGACCATAAGGGGTGTTTGTGTGTGTGATAAAGTGATATCCACGACAACTGGGTCGATAAAATGATATCCCTAACAACCTGCAGTGTGAAAAGCCAGCAAGCACAGGCAGCTCTCCACACTCCTCCGCTTCCCTGATCTCCAACTGCCCTTCACAGGGAAGACTTTTAAATCCTCTTGTTTTGCATAGCTGACCTTATCTCCTCCCTGGCCTCCAACCACTGCCATTGCATAGGAAAAATATGCTTATATAAATAGCCATTGACTCCCTGTGTTGTTGTTTTTACTCTTGAATGAACACAGAAATCCACCCCAGCCAAATCGGCGTGTGTGTTCGAACAGACATGCATGGCTCATGTCTCTGGGGCAGCAAACGCATGCAGCTGGTGAATGGTTAATTACAAGCCTTGAGGATCAGGATATTTGCAGGCCATTCTTACAGTGAGTCATCTCCTCATCCCATCCTCCAGCAATCTCCTCTTCCCCCTCCCCACTCAACCTAGCTTCCCGGAGGTCATTTCTGCAAATACTAGATGGCTCATCGCAGAGAGCTGGGCTGCTTTGGTTTTAATCAATAGATAATAGAATCCTTGTCAGCACCAAGGGAAGAGTCCTTATTTTATCTTGCTGCATGATCTTCCCTCTACCACACAACCAGTGCTGTGGCTGGGACTGAAGCTCACCCATAATGAAACTGCACCTACACAGATGAAAGATATGACATGCTCACCCCCTGAAAGGAAGAAAGTGAGGGATGGAATAGGGCTTACTGTACCATTTGGCCTACTTGCCTACACTAGCTGCCCCTTGCCTGGGGCCATGCTTGCAGGGGAAACCTGCTCATAACATAGAATCATTGAACAGTTTGGGTTGGAAAAGACGTTAAAAACCATCCAGTCCCAACCCCCTGCCATGGGCAGGGACACCTTCCACTAGACCAGGCTGCTCCAAGCCCCATCCAAACTGGCCAAGGTGAGACCACCTTAGCCCTTAAGTAACCAACACCTCCTCCCAGCTCTCCCACTCTTAGGGAGAACAGGAATACAAAAGGAACCTCAAGGAGGTTTTATTTTCCTGATGGTTTTACAGCCCGTTATTTGAGAAGTTGGTGTTACAGACTCCCAGAAGACCCTTTATTCTGATCAGTGCCCACTGCTTCAGGGTGATTTATATCCCCTCTGCACAGAAACCTTCCCCCAGACCACAACAGCTTCCGGGGGGGGTCGGTGGTCCTGGTGAATCACCAGTGCTGCCTACTGAGTCACCAACTCTCCTCAGGCTGCATCAGACCTGAAACGGAGCTGTGGACTTCATGGGCCTGATCCTGACACCCAGAGCACTTCCAGCAAAGGGGAACAGCATCAGGAAAAGGAGGAAACTTTCCCATCCATGAAGGGGGAATGTTTTCAAGATAAGACACTTTGCAATACACAAAAGGCACAAAGTAGAGCCTACACCAAACCCCCACCCCGGATAAACTGCCCACAGCCAGAGTCACCACTTCAAAGTGTGGGGCTGGTCCATAAAAAGAGGATGATCTCGTACCGAAATGAGGAGGCTGGGAGTCAGTAGAGCTTAATTCAGCCCTTGGTTTGCCACAGACTTCCCGGTGTGACCCTGGAAGTGTTTTTTCATTTTTAGTTTAATGAGGTCCCTAAGGGTTTGACTGCCCCAGCACAGTGCAAGTATCCCTGCCTTGCAGCAGTACAACTGGTGCTTTGGGGGGGACCGGACAGAGACAAGCGGGGGTGTCCCTCCTCATGGCATCTGGCAGTACCAGGCTGGAGGTGCCTCTTCCCCGTTGGGGATGTACTGGGGGCAGTGCTAGTTATAGGAGACCAAACTGAGTACATCAGGGCAAGAACTGGCATCACGAAATGCTTAATAGAGGTGAATTAACCCGGGCCAGTGAGGACACAGGAGCAGAATTAATTCAAGAAACATCGCCTGGTTTTCTCCCCCATTTGCAGCCTCGGGATATGGCAGTGGGGGTGTTTAGGAACCCCGGCTTCGGCGTGGTCCCTTCCGGGGAGCCCTGCAGCCCCGGGTGTGCGGTGACAGGGGCGGGCTCCGAGCACTGCCCGGCTGCGAGGGGAAGCAAGGGGTGGGAAGGGGGCAAGAACAACAGAGAGGGCAAAGGGACAAGGGCGCTGCCTGGAGAAGCAGAGGGAAGGCAAGGGTGGGAGAACAGGGGAAGGGCGGGCTGAGATTTCTTTTTTATCGTTTTATTGTGTCCGAGTTACACGGAAGAAAAAGAACCTCAATCAAAGGGCTATAATACACGTGAGGAGGTATTTCTGTCCCCCAACAAACCCGGAATTTTGGCTATGGGCTTCCTCGGTATGCCCGATGGGGAGACAGAGCTCTCGGGTGGAGGAGCAGGCAATGATCCCCGGGGTTCGGGAGCCCAACACGAGCCGCCCCGTGTCACCGGGCGGAGAGCGAGAACCGGCAGCTTCGGGTCTCCTTTTCCCCAAGGGGCAGATTTTATTTTCCACGCAGCCCCGATCCCTCTCGCCCACTTCTCCCTTTGATAATCCCCAACTTTTGCTCTTCGTCCCTAATATTCTTTGCTTTCCATCAGCTTATTAAACGCGCGGCGGGGGTGAGCGGAAAGGCATTTCAGCTCAGCCCGCAGAGTCTATCCGGGATTTATGTCCAGTGGGTGGAAAAGAAACGAAATCCCGGCGTTACCTCCCTGCCCTCCAACAACAACCACGTTAATCGGGGGAGGTGGGGGGGTGGTGGCGGAAAAGGAACGGGACCACTGCGGGGCCGCCGCCAGCCAGAGAGGCTGTGGGGATCGATCCAAATCGGCCTCCTAAACTCCTACCCTCCCGTTCCCCGCTGCCCCTCTCACCTTTCAGGAAGCAGACCCTGGCCCCAGCCTCGGGCAGGCTGGAGAGCAGGGCATTGAGGACGATCTGTGCCGTGCTGTCCTTTTTCAGCTTCTGCCAGTGGCCCGTGCCCTGGTCCAGCACCACCACGGCCGCCAGCCGAGCGGTCCCCGCCGCCCCTTCACCGCCCAGCAGCAGCCGGGACCGGGCCGTCTCGTCGGGCACCACAAAGTGGAGCGGCACGGCCCCGCCGCGGGCCCGCCGCATCACCACGGAGTTGAGGTTGACGTTGAGAGAGCCGCGGAGGCAGGAGGCCGAGTAAGACAGGTAGGGCCGGCAGTCCAGCACCAGGCAGCGGGAGGGCTCCTTCCGCAGGAGCTTCCTCAGCTGCCGGCAGTCAAGGGACGTGACTTTCATGCCGGCAGCGGGGCAGGAGCGGGGAGAGCGGCTGGGGAGTCCCGGTGCTAGCGCGGGAGCGCGGCGATAGGACGGGAGGGACGGAGGAACCGCGGCTCCGCGCCGATCCCGGGCAGGGAATCCCGGCTGCCGCCACCGGGCATTTATATGAATGGGCCTTGACGACACTGCCCATATAAGGGGAGTGACGCGCCCGCTTGCCAAATATGGGCATCCCCCGCCCCGTGCCGCCCGGCTGCACCGCCCCCTGGCGGGGATCCCCTCCCTCCGCCGTTGCGCGGCGGGGGCCGCGGGCGCGCAGGCAGCGTTAGTCAGGCTGGAGGCAGAGGAAGCTGAAAAACGCCGCAAAAATTCTCCAGTCATCGGCCCCAGGCTCATCCCGGCATCACCCCTGCCCCGGGAGCGGAGGGAGGGAGAGGGAAGGGGGGAAGGAGGAATGGCAGTGCTGGAGCAGGGTTCTCACACCAGGTTGCAAAGAGGGGTTTCAGTTCCCCTTGTTCCCCTTTCTCTGTGCATGTTCTCACCCCCAGCAAAGGCTGATCACAGCGATAAGCGTGGGCTGCCCGGGGAATATCCTCGGGGATGCGGTTATCTGGCAGCAAAGGAGGAAACGAGGAGTAGCAGCTTGGGACAAAGCAAGATGCGCCATTCCTGCAGAATGAATGAGTGCTTGGAGAGCGGGTCAGGGATGGAGGACACCTGCAATGGGAAAAATTGCTTGCATGGCTGTTTGAGGAGGGGTCTTACGTCCCTTTCCTTGTGGTGGGCTTTAAGGCTGCGAGACTGTGCCTCATGGACCGGCAGGACATACATGACAGAGCTCTGCCTGTGCCTGTGTCCAGAAGCCAAGACACTAAGATGCACAGGAATTAGGAAATTGGGCACTTGCCTTTTCCTTGTAGATAAGTCTTGCAAAGCGACCAAAAAGAGAACTGGAAATTCTTGGAAGAAGTTGGGCAAAAGGATGAGCTCCAGCTCACCGCGGCCCCAGAGATTACAGTGGAGCTGTCTAAGAGCAAGGCGTCATTTATTCTGATGGTGCCCTGAAAGTATGTTCACCTCAATAGGAGGCAGGAAGTGCCATCGCTGCCTCAGATTGCCTGCAGCTGAAACAGAGAAGCATGAAAGAGGCTGAGTGCGGAGGAAAAGGTTCAGGCTGATTAAAAGAATAGCAACTACTGGTTTCGAAGCACCTTCTCCTCGTCTTCCTCTTTCAACGCTCCCCCCCGCAGCCCCCGGCTGGCTTCTTCTAACCTGACCCCCCTTTTCCCCTCCTCTGAGTCACTCAGGGTACGAGGTGGAACAAAAATAGAAGCAGCTTGTGGGTAGGGGCAGATGTTCACGGAGCGCCTTAGCGTGGGTGCTTCACCTGGCCACTGCCGTCATGCAAAGCAGCTCCTTCCCTGCTCCTGCAGCCATCATGGACATGGCCAGAGCTGCATGGCTGGGTTGGGTGTCCCCATGTGCCAGTGTGGTCCCTGCCAGAACCAGATCCCCACCACGAGAAGCCATGGCCACAGCCGTGCTGAAAACCTTCACATCATCCCATGGGCGGATGATTCCTCCCCTATATTTTTCACCAGGGGGGCAATCTGGTAGTGGCAGGGGCACCGTGACTGATCCCACCACAGGAAACCTCCTGAACATAACCTGCCTTTCCTGCCTCCCAGCCTCAGGAGCGGCTTCTTCCTCCCTGAGAAGCAGCCTGGCTCCCGGGGGCTCGCTCCCCCAGTAACAGCCCAGCTGGAGAACTGGTCCCAGTGCGGCACAGGGAGGGCAAGAGGGGCTGCGGGCAGGCGCTAGCGTGCTCGTCCCTCCTGGGAGGAAGCGGGGGGCCAGTGGAGTCACACGAGAGCATCATTTCCTCTCAGGAAACCCAAGTGAAATATGTGGAGGGGTGGGAAAGAGAGCTTCAACACCCACCAACCCCCCCCCGGCTGAAGTGAAGGGGGCAGATCACACCACCCCAGCAAACAACCTCTATGGGGAATACCTGAAGTTTGGCCTGTCCTGGGCAGGGTGAACATGACCAGACCTGACCTGCAGCTGACCTTCCTGCTTTTACACACCTAATGCCGAGCATCCAAACAACTGCCTTTCAGTAGATTACAGCTCTGCTTTTGTTTCTTAATGGAGTGAGTCATGGCCACCTTTTTATTAGAAGAAAATAACGAGGCTAACAACAGCAGTACTAATGCTTCCTCACTGCAGGGTGCTGGACACGCAAAGTGTCCCTGACTTCTCTGCCCACCAGCGAAATGACTCGGTTGTACTTGGAAATAGATGAGCAATCGGGGCTGATGCTGTCAGGGTTGTGGGATGGACAGGGATACTTTTTCCCTGCTGGAGCAGCTCCTTCTTTTTTCAGGTGCTCCCAGCCAGAAGGGAGAAAGGGGCTCGATTCCTGTAAGCGGAGGTGGTTGAGTAACTTAAACCACCCTCTGCTCTAGGTAGGAAACTCCCCTCCTCCCTGCAGCACTTTACATCATTCCCACTTCGGGTCTGCTGCATCTTTCTGCTCCTCCTCCCGCTTCCCCTTGATAATCTCCCAGGCTCTTTCGTCCTTTGTCTTGGGCTTTTATCGGGGCTTTCAGATCAACTGGTCCTTTCCTTTACTTCCAGGCTGTATTTCCCCTAACCCAGCTCATTCTTCCCTTCTCCCCTCCCCACCTCCTCTGAGCTCTTTGTTTCTGCCTGTTCACAGTGCTATGAAGGGAAATCCTCACTGCAGCTGGGGAGGAGAGGCTCCAGCTCCTGGGGTTACAACTGAACCCCTACCCCAGGTAAAAGGTCCCAGGGTGCAGCATCCACGGGGGAGCAGCCAGCAGGCATGGCTCTAGGGCAAGATGCTGCCTTTTGGAGAGAATACAACTCAAAAGCAGCTTTTAAAAGGGGCTTAGGTGACTAAATGAATGGGAAATGTGTTTCCTGGGGAGGAAAAGAGTCAGGATCAGCTGAGTTTCTAGGGCTCAGTTTGCCTGAGCTGAGACAAGGGATGCCCTGTGCTGGGAGCTACAAGTGTGCTTGTCTCCCCAAAGCATTAACCCCAAGATCAAAGGTGAGAGAAAGCCAGTGAGCAATCTTATTGCTGGAAAGGGGGCTGAGGAGAAGGCAGATCAGGGGGATCCATAAATGCTGTGGGATCCTAGTCTGGGGCCAGAGCTATATCATGTATCCCTGCTGGAGCACAGTCCTGAGCCCCCATCCTCCGGTCGGTTGTGAAATGCAAGGAATGCCTCAGAGGAACAAAGCACAGCCCAAGACAGCAGAGAAGATGGGTTGGCATTTCTTTAATGTTATTAAGTTTTCCATAACATCAGTTTCTAATTTTAGAGTGGCTGCTGTTGAAATGCTTACAGCACAAGCAGTGAGATAAGCTCGTGCCGGTAAATGGAGAGCTGGAAGACAGGTAAATTTATACCCTGGGCTATGAACAGCCGAGCAGTGGCAATAGGGTATTGTCAAGTTGAGACCTCACCGGTGTCATGACTTAGTCACTCTTGAGACAAAGTCTAAAGACCAGACTCGATCATGAACATCAGTTTTCTCTCAGTCTAGCAGAAAACCCCATTGCCAAAAGCTGATTCTAGAGGATGTAAAGCACTCTCATACACAGACTCTGTGTCATGGCAACCACCCCCCTCACTTTATGGCCCCATAGATATGATGTTAAGCTGGAATCTTTCTTCTTACCCCAGAAAGCTAATAAATAGATCAGTAACTGCTTGGGCATTTATAATAAAAAAGAGAGTTCATGCAGTTTTCACTTTAAATCTACATTTTGTAACAAATCCATAATCATAAGTGACTATTCTCAAAGAATTAGGAAAAAAATGCATGCCATAGCCTATACAATTATGGAGAACCAAACAAATTCGTATTTATTGTGGCCCAGGTGCCTCTCAGACGTGGTTTATATTCCCAGCTCTGCTGCCGTAAACCAGAATTAAGCTAAACGGTGCCTTGGTTTCAATAGGAGCTGCCTGCACTCAGCACTTCTGAAAATCAGGCTGAAAGGGAATCTCAGGCTTACGCCTGATTCTTACCTGACTCATACCTATGTGACTCCACTGACTGCTGCACGCTGCTGTCAACAGCTGCTGTCAGGAGTGAAAGAGGAATAAGCTGATCCTCCTGTCTCCTTTTAGAAGCCACTGTTCTTTCTGTTCCACCAGCTGATGACTTATTCCCACGTACAGATGGACAGTCAGTTTGTAAAACAGGGATTACAGCTATCTGCACAATCAAGTTTCAATTTCTCCACTCGCCTGACGTGGCTCAGAGCATCATGAGCCATATTGATGGAGCACTTGCAGGCCCAGTTATGAATGTAAAGAACCCATCTTCCCATTTGCAACCATGCACCATCCCTGGGGTAGCAGCAGTAATTTCTTACATGGGAAAATGATTTGTGTAGTTGGCTGCCTTTAATGTGAGACAAAGCCCTTTTGTTCTTTTATCAACTTGCCAGTTCTCATTTGTTCTTTCCTCTTCCTGCCACTGTTTCCCCGCACGCATTTCTTGCCTTCTAGTCCTGTCTCTTCCCTTTTCCTGGATGTATTTCCCAGAAACCTGCTCCTATTCTGCATTGGCAGATCTCCCCCTACTAGCACAGCCATCATTAGCCAGGGCAGGTTTTCACTCACATCTCCTGGCTATTCCTGCCCATCAGAGCCCATCCAGCCTCTCACACTGTGAATCCTAGTCCTTGTGTGTGGTTACTGCTTCTTTAGACTGTTGGGAGCCATCAAATGACATAAAATATTCTTACACAAACCACCGAATTGGCTATTAGCACAAGCATATCTTGGGGGAACACTGATTACTTTGGTCCAGATCTTTTGGAAGCAAATCTTATAATCACTGAACCTGATTCCCTCAGCCTTGGTCTTTCTGAGTGACTCATTTCTTAAGCACCAGGTTGTTGCCTAGAGGGTATAATCACATAGATATAATCCACTGCACAGTGCGTGTTACTATGCCCACTCCACTGAGAACGAGTACATCTCCTGGGTACAGAAATGACTTTTTAAGCTCAAAATGGAGTAGCTGATGCTTTTAGCTGAGAATGTTTTGAAGCCATTTCAGTTGGCTACACAGAAGCAAACAAAATAAACACAGTAAACCCCATTACACCTCTGTTTTCTATAGCACTGCCAGTAGCAGGAAAAAAACCCACTCCACAGCCCCTGTGTTTGCAAGGCATAGGCAGTGACAGCAGTGGGTCATGATGCAAACAAACTCTCTAGGATTACCCAGCTCCAAGCATGGCACTGCACATCCCATGCCCCAAACTCCTCTTTATCCCACCTTTGCAAAGAGAAAACAAGCAGAAGGTAGATGTAGGCTTTGGATATCACCCTAGATGGTATTTCTGGATGGTACTGGGTCTGCTGCAGTGCATCTAGAAGGCAGCTGAGGGGAAAGAGGAAGCAGTTGGAACCGCTGGGCTGGGGGAGGCTGCGGTGACAGCAAACGTGCCACCCAGAGCTGCAAAGAGGAAGAGGATAAACCAGACCTCCTCTTTCACCCACGGTAAGATGGGGGGTAATGGGCTTGAAGTGAAGGCAGGCACATCTGCTGTAGATGGGGGAAGCTTCTTGAGTGATGGTGCTGCTGCTCTCCACTGCTGAGGCTCCAAGAACAGGTTGAACAATGGCCTATCTGGACAGACTTACACAGAGTCGATCCTGCCTGGGGGTAGGGGTGGGCTGGGTGACCTTTCAAAGAGTCTGCCTACAAATCCTTGTGTTACAGGCTTGTGTGGATCACGTTCAGACACACAAGTCTGTGACTTGGTAAATATCGTTGGTAAATGACAAAGTAACCTGAATTAGCAACTTGATTGATTTCATTGCTTCAAGGGTTGTCTCCATCCCCTGACCTCTGAATCATCCAGAGAAGAAAAAAATCATTTGAATTAAATATTCCCCCCCCAATAAACCTGGTGAAACAAACTTGTGAAAGAGAGGAAATAATTTACGTCTTTTATGTTCCTTTCTCCTAGGCTCCTACTTACTTAACCCCATTTAAACTTTGTATCAGCTTATGACATCCGGTGAAAGTACGCTACAGCTTATTAAAATTTAAAGCTGTTACTCCAAGGGAAAACACTGAAAGCTCTTTTATGGATTACCCAAGCCGGCAGGATGTGGCTTCCACTCTGTATCCTTTTGATGGCACAGCCCA